GGCAATTTCAGACATAGACAATATTGTTCTCTATTGTTGAGGGGTAAGGGGAGGGGGTGTTGTTCAACCTTGACAGACGAAATGTTGCCAAGTTGTTGCTTTCTTAGGGGACATTGGAACACCAACAGAGAAAGCCATAAACATTTTGTTTGTGTTGTTTGTCGAGTAAAGAGAAGCACATCAACAGAATTATGGCAATTCAATGCCGGGAATAAGTAAGACAGTCAGAAACAACGGAGGAGAAGTAAAAGAAGAGTGACGTACCGGCGGCGCCCTCCCACCAACCGCCATGAACGTTTGGGGAATACTATACTACTGGTAGGTTAATTCTGCTGTAGGCCATGCTGACTCAGGTCTGAGCACGTTTCGACCGAAATGTACATGTATGTATCAGTCAGATGATGGACATGGCACTATCCATTCAATCGACCCCCCCCCCTCACTTTCAACTCCCACCCACCCGCACCTTTCCAGCGGTCACATACTTTTTCCTTTTTGGTTACAGCGACAGAGCATTTCTATTATATTAAAATGCTTATTTTCTATAGAAGTGTACTATGACGTGTACCTCAGCTTGATCCTGCTGACAACCCAACCAATCTGTGCTGTATGGGACCAGACAGACGCACGGAGAGAATCTTTAAAGGGAAGTAACAACCGAAACAAGATCGTTTGTGTTTTGTCTGAACGGTCGCAAATTACGCCTTCAAAGTTTAAACACGGTTTTGCTTCAATCACCCTTATACAAATTTTTTATAATGATAAAAGAACACACAAACAAATATATAGGACTTTGTGGTCTTGTTTGTCCACAGAAAACATTAGAAAATCAGAATTTGCAGAAGACAACTATTTAAGTTTAACACCATTCACGTTGAATTTCCAAAATTGGTTGGATGATGAATATGGGAAACTCTAAATCTAAAGAGTTTGTTTTTATATGGAGCGGTATAGCCGTTTCCCCTCGAATTGTTCATAGTTTGTATGAGACAAAGTATGCCATGTGATCTAGTAGCTATTCCATTATGTGATCTAGTTGTTATAACTGACAACTCTGGCGTCGTCAGTAACTGCTAACTTTTATTTCTAAATGTGGGTGTTTTTTGTGCGTCCATCGACACAATTTAGTTTATTCAGGAGGCGGCTTAGACCAAATCTCTAGCCCTCGGGGAGGTGCTACTGGCTGAAGAGTCCTTAGGCCATTCCCAAAGGGGAGGACAATAACATGTTCTTATGCACAGTAGAGTCGTGAATGGGCTGATTCATCAATGTCATGCTCACAACTGTGCCTGAACTAACTGCTGCTTTTTCTTTCCTAAACCTTACTACCGTCAATTTTCCTCTACTTCTTTTGAATGTTTGTTACACTCTAGTGACCCGCTATTTCCGCGGTGCCTTGATAGTCGACGCAGACTTTGTGCTGTTGAAGCAAGAGAGGTGAGTAGAGTAAGCCTGATTCCTAGTAAGGACTTCTCTGTTTACATTCACCCCTTGGCGCTCATATGACCTTATGCAGTTAGGAGCGCCATAAAACCTCTACTATAACACAAAAAACCCTGTCTGTCAGGACCAACCCGGGCAGGGAGGTATACAACGTCCCAGCAGGTAGACTGAGATACTCGATAAGATAAATAAAATTTCTCGCCGCACAGGAATCGAATACAGGACCTCTTCGAGCAACGGCGAAGCGCCTAAACGCAAAAATACAGACACCGCTCCGCTTTTTTCCGATAAGTGACCCCCCCCCCCACCCCTTAAACCCTGAAACCAAACCGCTAGCTCCAATTTAGGTGTTGTGCTCTATTTCATTCAGACGGTAGGACATGTAGATGTTAAATAAAGACTCCTAAGGACTTTCTAGTTTCCGTGGTGAAAGTCTACCTGAGTCCCCCATTTGGAGCTTACGTGACGTGCTACTCACACCTTTGTCTCCATTCTCATAGTGGCTATGTGATGGTACCTCGGGTATCATAAGAGAAAAACACTTTCAATATGATCTTACTTCTTCTTCTTCTTTTTCTTCTTCTTCTTCTTCTTCTTCTTCTTCTTCTTCTTCTTCTTCTTCTTCTTCTTCTTCTTCTTCTTCTTCTTCTTCTTCTTCTTCTTCTTCTTCTTCTTCTTCTAATTATTATTATTTCTATCATTATTATTATCACTGTTGTTTTTTGGGGGTGGGTGGGTTGGGGGCGGGGGTGGGTGAGCTCAAGTAGTCTTTAACTCTGCTTTTATCATGATTTTTGATATATCAATTTTGACTCCCGAGGACTAGACAGAGAGGGGTCAAGGTTAGGGAAGTTTCTCGCAAAATGTACTAAACTCTATACTGGTTTAAACGAGCTGAAACGGGCAACGTGATTAAAACAGACGGAATGACGCATATTTATGCCTAAGAGAGAGAGAGAGAGAGAGAGAGAGAGAGAGAGAGAGAGAGAGAGAGAGAGAGAGAGAGAGAGAGAGAGAGAGAGAGAGGGTGGGGGGGGGGGGGGAGAACGACCTAACTGTACATGCCTCCCTCAAACTGGACTGCTACATTGGAAGGAATTAGTCCGCCGAGAGGCCTAATCGTTAAGGCTAATGAGCCTTCATTGGACATGCTACTTGACTATGTACAGGAAGTTTGCAACTTTTTATTGGGGAATTTACGACCACCTGGCTTCTGGCATTTATACCTGAGGACAAACCTCACGCCGATGCTACGTTACATAGACTTTAGGATCGCTGCAGACAGTTTAAAACTAACGGTAAGGAAGTCAGGAATTAGAATGTGGCATACTGTTAGTTTAAAACTAACGAAAAGGAAGGCAGAAATTGGTATAGGGCAAACTGTTGGTTTTAAACCAAAGAAAAGGAAAGCAGAAATTGGTGTACCGGAATACTGTACCCAAAGTTTGAACGATCTTACACTAGCTAGAATCTAGATGGAAACTAATGTTAGGTTCAACCTTTCACTCTCAAGGCATGGTCTTATCGCCTATCACCATTACATCCTCCTCCAAAGATGATCAATGTACACATGGGCTAATAAATCTATTTTCTTCGAATGTTTGGTTGATTGGCTAGTTTTGTGAGTGTGTGTGTGTGTGTGGGGGGGGGGGGGTCGTATACATTCTCGGGAGACTAAGATACAGTTTAAATTATTATAGAGAACTAGCATTTAGGAAATCTATGAGCTCCAGCCGAACTATTAAAAACAAGCTACTTTCCTTTCTAACGGGTAAAGATATTGATATTTATACCTCACACATGAATGCACTATTAATCCTGAGATCCCTAACCTTTAAAAACAAGAGAAAACATTAAAATTTGCTGCTCTTAGCTCCAACACTTTAAAAAAGCACACAATTAAAACCTGCGCCAGCACTCCGACTTGGGAAAATTAAAAGAAAACACAAGACCGAGCCTCACTGGCACCTTTTTCGTTTGAAATATATTATTATTCTCACAAAATTGCTTCACGTTTTCACACCGGGATCCACACAACAACAATTATCTGCTGTTATTCCAAGCGAGTAATCCCTCTGGAAGTTAGGCGTGTCCACAAAGTGTCAGAGAGCACACAAACGCACGTACATCCCAAGTCCAAAGATGGAGAATATATGCAATCTATTCTATTGTTTCCCTGTTTCCTACAATACAGCGAAGTAAGCTGTGGTTTCTCTGCTGAGCGGCACCGTACCGGCTTCTCCGAACTTGTCCACGGGAGTGCGTGCTCTCGTAGCAACAGACCACGTGCATTTATGCCGGGTGAGCTCTGTGAATGAGTTCGAACGAAGTCTCTTGCGAGCCGGTCGCTCGTCTTTACACTGTCTGGAAAGAGGGCGGATAAATTTTTTTTTTCTTTTTTGTGCTGGGGTTTGTGAAGAAGTTCGAAGCATTGGGGTGCTTAGTTTTTCCAGTAGGGGAAAACCTATTCGCCGATCCTTTTTCTTTGCTTTTCTGTGTTTGTGATTATGCGATTATGCCTGACTGGTGCGATTAGGATATGTGAATAAGAGAGGAGAGAGAGAGAGAGAGAGAGAGAGAGAGAGAGAGATTGCTTCGGCTAAAAAACAAATGGTGTGACTGTGTGGTTGAATTTAAAAAATGGATGGAGATAGAAAGGGGAAAAGAGGGAGAGAAATAGATGTAGAGAGAGAGAGAAAAAGAGAGAGAGAGAGAGAGAGAGACAGAAAAAAAAGGATGTGATTGTATAGTTGAATAGAAAAAGTGGAAGAAGGGAGAAAGGGAAAGCGAGAGAGAGAAATAGATAGA